TACATGGGAAAGGGATATGAATTAGACAGAACTATAACATTTTTAGGAAATACTATATATTTCAAAGTCTAAGCCAATGCCTAACTGACAAAGATAAGAAGGAAATTCCTTTCTGGAGAGGTTATTCCACAACTGTCCAACATAAAGATTATTTAACTTACGGATCTAGCACTGTCAGAGACAAGCTCTTGCACAGCATTTGTCAGCCCCAGTATCTAATCAGTCCCATTTTTTTAAACAGGAAGCCTGGGGATCAATTGGCCCATCAGCGTACATCCACTAGGGTGCTGTCTGACCACTGTGGTGTTGACTGCCCAGGCCTCAGTGCTGCCACCAGCTCAGACACAGCTGCTTTATCCCAGTGACGTGGGGGCAGTTTACCATCCTCTCACTTCTACTGCCTGTGTGATTTTTCTCTTAACTTTCCAGACCAATTCTGCAAAATGACTGAAAGTAATGTTTTTTAAAGAGAAATCAGACTAGAAACCCTACCAGAGGTAGGGTTGCATGAAGGGAACAGTTAAGTCAGAACTGAATTGTAGCCACTGGAGACAGTGTGACATGGAGCCACAGGTGGCCGAAGGGCAGCTACATCTTTACTTGCATCACCACCATCCTCTCCTGCAGGGTGAAGCTCTTTCTTGCTGCAGATAGATATTGTACTTCGAGTTATGTGAGTTTGAATGTGTAAGTCCTAGGTCATGTCCTTCAGTGAATGTTTCCAGAACTGGCCATCAGGATTGCATACTAATACCGAAGACAAATATGAGGAAAAAAAGAAGCAGATTCATGAAGATTTGAGTGATTTAAGTGGATGGGCAACAGATGAAAAGCACTATTTCCTGCAGCAAATGTTAGATGGCAAGTGTGGGAACAAGGAACAGGTCTGAGGAATCCCACTTAGGCAGAGCCACAGCACAGCTTCCTGAGCCTCAGTGGGTGGGAGGTGATCATTAACCTTGTCAGCCTGCACAGAAGGGAACTGCCAGAAAGAATTTTACATGTAGAACACCAGTGTTGCTTTATGTTTCCCAGGCATCTCCCATGTGCACATTGTTGTGCTAGTGAGCCCTCAAGAGCTTATGGAAAGAAGGTGAACTGGGGTGGCTAGCATCATGATTCGACTTAGAATATTACTTAATTTAGAGCATGTAAAACTGTGCTTGGACATGCAACAGAGATGTTTAGGTCTGGTGTATCATTGGCTTTCTTAGCTAAGAATGTCCCAGACAGGTTACCAGGAGCTCATCTCCATTACTGGTGGCATTAGGAAGGTGCAGAGAGCAAGCAAAGGACTACCAAGTGCTCTCAGTGCATTTGAACATGGCACATTAAATGTTGAGGACCCTCAGTAGCCTTATAAGTGCTCTGGCTCTCATCGCTGTGCCATGGACAGTGCTTAACAGAAAGAGTGATGCTGAGAAACCTGGGAAGAGGGACCAGTACTGACTCTGCCTTCCCTGTCCACCTTCAGAAGACACAGGCCTGCTCCAGGCAGCATCCACTCCTGCTGTGAGAGGGCCACCAGCCAATCCAGAAGAGAGGGATGAGAAGAACAAGGATGGCTGCGGTGCTGTCCTTTGGTGTCCTGGCTTATGCCTGAATCCAGCTGATGAGCTGCACAGTTCATCCATGTAGAGAAGGCAGAGGTGAAAAGCAATGACTGTTCCCAAGGACTGAGAGGAACTCCCTTACAGTCAAACTCCTGTGCTGGTGCAGCTGTGTTTTGCTCTATAGTTCGCTCTGTTCCTGATAACTTTCTGTCCCCATGTTGTATTGCAGGGGTTGTGTTTCCACATTCATGAGCCTTCACCTTCCACACACTTTATTTTGGACAAAAATATGCAAATCATCCCTTTCATCTGAAAAGAAAGCCATCTGCCAAGCAGCAAGGTATTGGCAGCCTTTTTATGTTCTGTGCAGTGGCACTTTTGCTTTCTTTCTCAACAGCTTCTGTCTCCATTGCAGATGCTGCCATTCTCATTTGGTTAATTTGCCTCTGTCAGCAAGCAGCAAAACTGACTGGCTCCGGTAGGGCCAGACGTGTTTATCTGACCACTCTGCATCTTTCAGCAAGCAGCCTGTTGTTGGTGACTTTTCTGTTCACTTTTATCCACTGAAGCCAAAAATTCCTAATGAATTGTTATGCCTTTTGTAGCCAAAATGAAACTATCTGAAAAGTAAACATATTTGGTGTTTACATGAGGCAAAACCAGCTCGGGAAAAGAACAGTTCAAGCACAGGCGGCTGCAAGAACGAGGAAAATTCCCCTGTGGGACAAGAGTTCCCAAGTCAAGAAAAAATGATGCAAGCTTGTCCCTTTAAACATGTGCGTAAGTACTGTCCCAAACAAGGATTGCTTCCCTGGAACTAGCTCTTCAACAGTTAAGTTAAACAAGTCCCAGTTAGGACTAATTTGGATTATTATAATAAGGGAGGCTCAGCTGCCCCCAGGACCTGCAGTGGGGAAGCACGAAAGGAAAGAAATTGTAGGCTGAGGGGCTCTCCTCCTCAGTCTGCAACCTTCTTCAGCACAGTGTTGAAATCTGTGCACTGCAAACATGCTGTGAGTGCTGGTCATATACAGACTGGTAGGTGTGGGGTCCCTCCTTCCATCCTGTGGGGGCTGGCTGGGAGGGAAGAGACCAGTACTCAAGGCTGGGGCAGATGTCTATGTTGCAATGAGATCTCTCAGACCCACTAGAGAAAGGGAAATGAAAAAGAGAAAAACAGTGGAAGACAGAGCTCTCTTTCTTCCAGCCCCTGGCAGAGAAGGGGAAATAGCACTTTCCCACCTTCCCCAGGGCAGGGAAGGGCTGCAGGAAGGAACTATGTGCTGGACTGGACCTTGCTCAGCCAGGTCATCCACCTCTTATGAAATCCCCTCCCAGTTTGCCCTCTCCCTTCCCTCAGGATGCAGCAGTTGTGAGGGAGCTGCCATGCCCTGAAGGCAACTTTTCTTATTTGCTAGAGAGAGATATTATTTGTCAACCACATTGGGATACCTGCAGCTTAAGGCACTAGAAAAATCTGTCCTATCTGATGTAGGAAGGTGAAGGAATGCATATGGAAAAAATATATCTCAGCTCATATTTCTCCCTTCCCCCCAAGATGAGGTACCAAGATTAAATAAATACTGGGGTTGTATGCAAAGGTGTATAAAAAGTATTCTGCCTCTCTAAAAACAAAAATAATAAAAGAATAACAGCATGAGAAGAGTAAGAATGAGGATATGTGTGCAGTGTTCTGCCAAGCCAGGCTGTTACCTATTTCTGTAGGACAACTTGGGCAGATTATATCCTATATTGAATGCAGCATTTCTGGGCCCCTGTTCCTGCTCAGTCCCAGCTCTCCACAACTGAATTCTCTTTCTCTTGCTGAGATACAGATGAAGAGGACAAGGCTGGAAGTAGTGATGCCGAGACCCTGTGGACGATGAGTAGTGTGAATTGTCAGTTGTGAAAAAAATTGAAATTGGCAAATGCTGAAAAAAAACAATGACTGAAAAGCCAGGGGAAGGAAAACAGGTAGGGTAGATGGTGCCTCTCTGGGCAGCTGGGTGGGTCAGAGAGGTGGCACTATTGCTTAACTGGGTAGTGCTGCTCAGCCTGACTGGTTTGCTAACTTCTCTTAGGATTTTTTCACTCTAAAGAAAAATGAGCATTTTTATGCTGAAAGGGTTTAGAACAGCCCTGGAGCATCTAGTACCTATGGCAGGTCTAGCATGGTCCTGTGGCTGTGAAGAGCTTTGCATCCCAGAACAGTCTTGTCAGATGCAGGTGGGAAGAGGCTGATGTCAGAAAGAGGAGGGACAAATCAAGTCCACACAAATCAGTTATCAGGAAGGCCCAGTATGTCACTTGCTCCACCATCTCCATCTGACATCAAGGTGCTAGAGCACTGGGCACCATGAATGTGCCTGTGCCTCAGGCAATATCCCTCCCAAATGTCCCAGTGATGATATGGGAAGAAAACAAAGCAGCTGGGCAGAGGAGCCTTAAACCCCTCTGCTTCCTCCTGGCTACTCTCCATGCCAGTCTGGTGGAGCTGGCGTTGACAGTCGTTGACTCTTGTATGAGGGAGACAGCATTGCGTGGGGCGTGAGCAGGCCAGGCTGGGCTAGGATGGCATGAGAAGTGTCTTGCCTCCCACACAACAACAGGGTGATCCTGCAGCCCTCCCTGCCCCTGTGCCTTTGCTGCCCTGGGCGAGGTGGGCTTGCTGCTGGGGATGCTTATTGCCCTGGATACTCTTTGGTCTTTGCCTCTTTTTTCCCAGGCGCAGGACTGAGAAGCGGGAGCTCCGCACAGAGCGGGCTGCCTCGGGCACGGCTGTGGCGGCACCGGGTCCTGGCGTGCGCAGGGGGCGGGGGAGGCGCGGGGCGGAAAGTGTGGAGGGGCGCAAATAGGAGCGGGGGCAAGGCGCGCACCCGGTCGGGGGGTGCGAGGTGCCGGGGCGCCGTGGTGCGGAGGGGTCCGGGGGTGCCGGAGCATGCTGGAGATGCCGCCTGCAGGGGCACTGAGGTGCCGAAGAGTGGCGGGTGCAGAGTCCCAGGGTGCAGGATGCGGAGATGCCGGGCCGCGAGGTGCGGGACGCCGCGCCACGGGGTGCAGGGTGCGGGATGCCGAGGTACGGGATGTCGGGGTGTCCCGGCTGGTCCCACCCCTGCGCGACGCTCCCCGCCCCGCGGCCCCGCTCCCCCGCCCTCCCTGACGTGTGGCGCTGGCAGCCCGGCCGGTTCCGCATTCCCGACCCCTCCCCGCAGCCCAGGGGCCGCTATATAACCGGGGCTGATGCAACCCACCCCGCCGCCTGCCACAGCCTGCGGGAGGCGCGCACCAGGGCGGCGGGGGGCGGCGGCGGCGGGCCAAGGCGCCCCGGCGGTTGCCGGCACCGACATCGGCACCCGGGGGTCGGGGCAGCGCCGCGCAGCCGGGCGGCGGAGGCGGCGGGGCTGAGACCGCAGCCCGCGCCCGGCCCCTGCGGCCGGGCCCCGCGGGCACCCCGGCAGCCCGGTCCCCCTGCACGGTGGGTGTGAGCGCGGGCGGGAGGCTCGCCAGGCGGGCCGGGATTGCGGCAGGGGGCGGGCGGCGGCGCGGGGCTCCGCGGGGGTGGCGGACAGCGGCGACGGGGGCTGGGGCGGAGGGCACCCGCAGGAGCATCCCGGCATCTCGCGGCAGCGGGCAGGGTTCTGCCCTCCGGGCAGTCGGGCGCACCGCGGAGGTGCGCGGAGACCCTCCGCGGGGGTGCGCACAGCCGCATGGGCGGCTCAGAGCAGCGCTGCTGCCCCCGCACTGATCAGCTGCGGGGCGGCCTCTCCCCGCTTTCGGGCGCCCGCCTCGCCTCCGCTTCACCTGCCGGCCGGGCGCGCAGGTGAGGGGCGCGGACTCCCCGCGGCCGGCGGTCCGTGCCGGAGAGGCGGGTTGTCGCTGAGCCGTGCTCCCAGCCCGCGGGGCCCCGGGAAGGAAAGGGGCCCTGGAGATGCCCCCACCGCGCAGTCCCAAGTCCGCTTTAGCAGTCAGGCATGGAGTTGAATGGAAGTTGCATTCTTTTGCACGGTCTGCTCCAGGAGGCACTTTTCTTTTTCCATGGAAGGGAAATAGGTTTGAGAGCAAATTGGGGGAAAGGGAGAAATACCAAGGGAGCAAGAGCTACATTATGTTTCCATTTTCCTTTAATGAAGGCCCTGTGGAGGTGTATTTGAAAACACAGGGTCTCCTATGCCTTCAAGGAGGGTGAGAACACTCTGCTGGCTGGTTCCAGGGCCATATGCAGTGTATGGTGGCCAATGAAACGGGGCCTGGCTCGTTCTCTTGCTTGTCTTGGCAGCCTGCTCCATGGCTTGCATTACCAGCCCTGGAACACAACCACTGCCAAACTGTGAGTGTGTGTGTGTGTGTGTTTGGACTCCAAGAGCTCAGCAGAAACAAATGCTTCTGCAGCTCAGACCAGGATTTTTTAGCTAGTTTTGAGGAAAATTTGCATGAAAAACTCTATCTGGAGGCTCTTGCCAGAGTCTGTACTGGGAATTTGTTGGTGAATGCTTGTGTGGGGGCATCTGGGAATGCCAGTCTTTGGAGTTCAGATTCTTAGTATGACTCCTAATGATTTAAAAAAGCGAAAACCTACCCATCTGGGGGCTGAGTGTGTGGGTGCAGGAGCTGCTATCCATACCATCCCTGTGTCATGCAGCAATTGGTTGTTCCTGGGGTCTGGGGGATGAACAAAATCTGCTGAGTTAGTGTGCAGGTTGCTGCTTCTGTCTCCTTGGAGAGACACCTATGGATGCTTTTCCTGCACCTTCACAGTTGAGCATTTCCCTCCTTACAGGATGCAAAGGTCTTTGTGCTCTATTCCTTGCCAAGGAAGAGTAAATACCCCCTCACACCTCTTGTCTCCTTCTACCCTCTCCTCCTCCAACTAGGCTGCTCAAGCACAGGTAGCGCTGAGCATCTGCTCTGTGGTCACCTTCCCTGTGCTAGTGTTTGCTACTTCAGCTGCATTGCCTGGGCCAGGTACTTGGCAGCATGCAGTGTCTTGAGTGTGAAGCTGTTAAGAGGCTCTTTTCACTGCAGTGGGCTTTTTGTGGTGGGCCTGGCCCTAAGAGCAAAGGAGGCAGAGCCATGGTGAGCGGCATGGACTCCTTGCCAGCACACATGTGTCCTGCAGTACCAGTGCAGCATGGAGGGGGCACAGCAAACCTGATGCCATCTGATTTTGGTGGCATTTCTCAGTTGCTTGGACAGTCCAAAGTATCACTCCAAACACCACAGGCTATTTTAACATGCAGCCAGGGAGCTGAAGGTCCATACGGGCCTCTCAGCTGAGCAGGGCTGTTGCAAACTAGCCAGAGCTGGTCTTTATATGGATTAGAGGTCTTTGTGGATGACCCTAGCATTCAGGGCATGATTCTGAAGAGTTTTTAGGGGGTGGCCTTTCATCTCTGATGCCATCCTTGTCCCCTGGGGCAGAGCTCTGTGCTAGAGTAGAGTTGTCTTCTTGAAGCAGATTCTAGCCCTGACCACATGTGGTTATGGGAGGTCCTGGGGAATTTCAACAAGTCAATTGTTAACCTCAATGTCTGAGCTGCAGCCTTTCTCAGACCAGGATATTCCTTCCTCCTCAAAGCCCTTTGACCTGTTTCAGGTAGAAATAGGATAGCTTTTACCTTTCTGCTCCATACTGCCATCATATGGTGGTGCAACCCCAAAGTAATTAATTGCAATCTCAATTGATTGAGATAATGTGATAATCAATGGCAATTTTTTTTTCATTTATTGCAATAGAGGAGCCTTGCTATGGTAGGTGCTGTACACAACTCTGCTGTCACAGGTTGCTTGGAAGTCAATTGCTGCATTGCAGTGGTTGGAGCAGCAAAACTAGAGCTTTTTACTACCCTGTGAAGATATGGAGGAAAATGCTCAGGGAGAAAGAAGGACTGTGAGTTGACTGCTTTGCTAGTGGCAAAAGAAGGTTATTCTAAAGTTGAGGACTGGAGAACCACCATCCCCCTTCCTCATAAAAAGGGTAAGAAGGTAAAGCATTAGACAGGCAGGTGTGGGGACCTAATGGTGGTACTCAGTTGGATGGGTGGCTGCAAAACAGCATTTCTGCCAGAGAGGCTGTCTGCTCTGGGCTGCCCCATGTGCACAGTGTAGGGAGCTGTGAGCTTCCCTAATGGAGGAGAGGAGGAAGGGCAGCAAGGCTCTCTGCATTCCTGTTTTTAGAAAGCTTTTCATAGCTTTCTGTCTGTGAGTGACTTGGATGTTCCTCCTGCCAGCTAGATGTGCAGGACCGAGCCAGAATGTTCCCACTCATGAAATGGGTTTAGAATTCCAACTCCTGAGGTACAGTTCTTCACAGCTCCTTCCTCTATTTAGCATTGTGGCCCCCCACTCCACTCTGTGAACTGGGAGGTGGGATGTTGCATAAGCGGGTGTTCACAAACACTGCAACTCTTCTCCCACCACATGAGGTTGCCTGTGGGAGGAAGGGAACAGCAAGGGTGGCAGCCAGAGGTGTCTGTGGGAAGGGCAGAGATGCATCTTTGGTCCTGCAAATCCAGAACCTGGGTTGTAGGAGCTGTCTCTCCCTCTTGGAATGGAAGTGGAGTCTGGAGATAGTGAGGTAACTACAGTGTCTGGCCTACTGAGGCGGTGTGCTCTGCCTTGGTCCACTTGGTAGGCTGTGCAATGATCGTGCCTTTAACTGGCCTTTAAATAAAGGGCAATTTCCCTGATGGCATTAAACAGTAATGTCAGATCCTTGGTAAAGAGAGAGCATGCACATTTTTATCCCAGCAGGTGTCACTACAGCTCTTTAGTATGCTACAGGTGGTGGGTTCCTTTGCATTAACTGGTTCAGCAAATGAATGAATGAATACACAGTGGCTGTTGGTAAAGTTCATGTTTACCAGCACTACTGTATGGGTATCTAAAAAGACTGGCTACCCCAAAGGGCTTGTCTGCTGCTGTGTTCTGATAGCTGGCAAATAACTTTGACATTGAGAGATATGCCCCTTGGCACTGGCCCTTCATGTTACTGCTTTTAACAGTGCAGTCCAGAAGAAGCTAGACAGGAGAGAGATGACCTGTTGTAAAGTGCTGCTCAAAACTAGATGCATCTAAAGCAGATAGCAGTTGTGTGGGAATGGGAGAGTATCACATTTTAGACAACAGAGGAAAGCCATAATTGCATGGCAAGGTACTTGTGGCACTGGGAGTACGGAGTCTTTCTTCTTTCAACTTGGTCATGCTTAACTTGGTGCTCACTGGGAAATGAACCTTGAGATGGAAGAAGGTCTGTAGGCTACAGTGACACTCAGCACCTTGCAGTTTCCTCAGACAGAAGAGTCCAGATGGAAAAAAGTAAGTGGCTCAGTGATTCAGAGAAAGAGTTGTAGCCAACTGCCCTGTCTTTGTTTAGGAAGTTACATTGTTGGGGCATGAGAAGTTGGGTATGTCAGGAAAGGGCTTTTGTATAAATCATCCTTCTGCTAACAGGAGGAACTAGAAAGATCAATGTATCACACACAGGCTGAGTTAATTTGATAGCCAAGAGCTAAAAAAAAAGGTTTTAAAAATGGCAATAAAGCTGTAGTAGAATCTAAGGAACCAGAAGTTGCTTCTTGTGGATGGTAGCACTGCTTCTGATCTCCACTGCAGAATTGTTGTTGCCTATTGGTCAGGAGCATATGAAAGGCCAGTTGCTGTGGCTTAAGTGCTCCAGGAAGGTACATACAGATGGTGATAGTATGTTAGGTGGTAACACGCTGAAGAGATCAAAGATTGCTTGTATGGTGACTTGCAGACTTTGGCAGTGCTGTGATGTGTGGCAGCTGACAAGTAATAGTAGGCACCCAGGTCAAGCCTGGAGTGAGAGAATAGCAGGGAAGCATGGCCTTGATTCTGCAGGCAGCACGGAGGAGGGCTAGTAGGACAGACTGTGCCTTAGTGCAGTGCTTAACATGGGGAAAAGAGAAACATGCTGGTATATACAGAATGTCAGAATCTACTGGCTGGCAATATTAGGTGCTAGACTGGCTCTCTGAGCATCAGAAGGGTACTTGGATCAACCACTGCAGATGTCAGCTTATGTTGTAAGAAACTGTGATTATATTATAGACAGCAAAATTGAAAATAAATTTGCAAATAGCCCTCACTCTTGCCAAGGAAACTGACACCAGAGATAACTCAGTAACGGCAGTTTAAATTGAAATGTGGCTGTCAGAGCCTGCTATGGGATGTCATAGTCCTCTCTACAGGATGGTGCTGTTGATGCAACAGTAGCACCTGCATTGGGTTTGTACAGAAACAAACAGCACCTCTGGATAAGTGAGGATGCATAGGATAGTTGTGGGAGAACAGTGGATACAAACTGAGGCACTCTCTGCACAAGGAAATGAACGTAGGATTTCAACACAGGTAGGCATTCCTGTGCCAGTTTTAGTCTGTGGGTAAGAATAGCAGTGAGGAGGTGGCAGGAGGGGTGTGAATACAGGCTAGCAACCAGAGTACAAGCCCCCAGGG